GTAAGGATGTCTGATAGGTTGGGAGGTCGGTGAAGGGAGGATAGGTGGGGGAAAGCAGAGGTACGGGCTGCTTCAAAACGTGGGCACGACAATAGGATGTGTACGATTGAAAGGGGAACATTACATAAGGAACATAGGGGTGGATCAGATTGTGACATCAGATAGGAGTGTGTTAGACGGGTGTGGCCAATGCGTAAGCGGGCGAGAGCGGTCTCCCAACGTCTGTTCCGATGAAATGGAGCTGACCAGGAGGAGATTGATAGTTTTACAGAATGTAATTTATTAGTGTGGAGGCTTGACCAAAAAGATTGCCATCGTTTATACAAGAAGGTCTTAAAATGTGGGTAATAATCTGTGGCTGGGATACGTGAGAAGCGTGGTTGGTATGATGTGGACATAGCAGCGTGGCGTGCTAGTGTATCTGCCTGTTCATTGCCGGGGATTCCAACATGGCTGGGCACCCAGCAAAATTTGATTGTTTTATGGTGTGTGGACAGGTAGAACAACCAGTTCTGGATCTTACAAACAAGGGGGTTGGTGCTGTGTATTGACTTTATGAGAGTTAATGAGCTACGGGAGTCAGTAAAAATTGTAAAAGAGGGAGAGGAGAGTGAGTATATGTTTTAGGGCAAAAAGTAAGTCACGTGAAGCGAGCTGAGAAGGGTGTAGGTCACATGGAGCATGCTGAGAGGCGTGTAGGTTGTGTGGAGCAGGCCAAGTAGGGTGTAGGCCACGTGAGGGGGCTAAGAGCAGTGTAGGTCACGTGGTGCGGTCTGAGAAGGGTGTAGGTCACATGGAGCGTGCAGGTTGTGTGGAGCAGGCCAAGAAGGGTGTAGGCCACGTGAGAGGGCTAAGAGCAGTGTAGGTCGCGTGGTGCGGGCTGAGAGGGGTGTAGGTCACGTGGAGTGGGTTGAGAGGTGTGTAGGTTGTGTGGAGTGGGTTGAAGGGTGTAGGTCACATGGAGTGGGTTGAGAGGGGTTTAGGTCACGTGGAGTGGGTTGAGAGGGGTTTAGGTCGTGTGGAGTGGGCTGAGAGATGTTCAGGTCGCGTGGAGTGGGCTGAGAGGGGTTTAGGTCGCGTGGTGCGGGCTGAGAGGGGTGTAAGGTCACGTGGTACAAGCTGAGATGGGTGTACGGGTGCGTGGAGTGGGATGAGAGGGGTGTAGGTCGCGTGGTGCAGGCTGAGAGGGGTGTAAGGTCGGGTGGAGTGGGCTGAGAGGGGTTTAGGTCACGTGGAGTGGGCTGAGAGGGGTGTAGGTCGGGTGGAGTGGGCTGAGAGGGATTTAGGTCGGGTGGAGTGGGCTGAGAGGGGTTTAGGTCGCATGGAGTGGGCTGAGAGGGGTTTAGGTCACGTGGAGTGGGCTGAGAGGGGTGTAGGTCGGGTGGAGTGGGTTGAGAGGGGTGTAGGTCGCATGGAGTGGGCTGAGAGGGGTTTAGGTCATGGGGAGTGGACTGAGAGGGGTGTAGGTCACATGGAGCGTGCAGGTTGTGTGGAGCAGGCCAAGAAGGGTGTAGGCCACGTGAGAGGGCTAAGAGCAGTGTAGGTCGCGTGGTGCGGGCTGAGAGGGGTGTAGGTCACGTGGAGTGGGTTGAGAGGTGTGTAGGTTGTGTGGAGTGGGTTGAAAGGGGTGTAGGTCACATGGAGTGGGTTGAGAGGGGTTTAGGTCACGTGGAGTGGGTTGAGAGGGGTTTAGGTCGTGTGGAGTGGGCTGAGAGGGGTTCAGGTCGCGTGGAGTGGGCTGAGAGGGGTTTAGGTCGCGTGGTGCGGGCTGAGAGGGGTGTAAGGTCACGTGGTACAAGCTGAGATGGGTGTACGGGTGCGTGGAGTGGGATGAGAGGGGTGTAGGTCGCGTGGTGCAGGCTGAGAGGGGTGTAAGGTCGGGTGGAGTGGGCTGAGAGGGGTTTAGGTCACGTGGAGTGGGCTGAGAGGGGTGTAGGTCGGGTGGAGTGGGCTGAGAGGGATTTAGGTCGGGTGGAGTGGGCTGAGAGGGGTTTAGGTCGGGTGGAGTGGGCTGAGAGGGGTTTAGGTCGGGTGGAGTGGGCTGAGAGGGGTGTAGGTCTCGTGGAGTGGGCTGAGAGGGGTGTAGGTCGTGTCGAGTGGGCTGAGAGGGGTTTAGGTCGCGTGGAAAAAAAAAGAGACAATGTAGGATGGCAGTGATAAAGATGGGTTGTAAATAGGTAACATTTAATGCAATGTTTCACCTGTAAGGATGGGGTACTGGGATAAATAGGACTTGCAAATAGGTCGCAGTGAAATCCAAACTGATTTGAAGAGATAAGGCTGTGCTATTCAAGGTATTGCATCAGCCAGGTGTTAAACATCCTTTCCAGTAGGTTGTATAAGCAGCTTATAAGTGAAATGGAGCGGTAGTCTTGAGGAAAAGTACCAGATTTATTTGGGTTTTATGAAAGGTATCAGGTTGATCCACCAACAGTTAACTTGGATGCTGGGAATGTTGAGACTCCTCTGCCAGACCCACCCATCAGCGAGGATCCACCCTCCCTGACTGAAGTCAGGGGGGCGATCTCCAAGCTGAAGAGTGGTAAAGCAGCAGGTGTCTGCGGCATCCCAGCTGAATTGTTAAAGGCTGGTGGAGAACCTATGGCAAGGGGCTTGCATGCAGTCCTGTCTGCCATCTGGCAGACCAGTACCATTCCCCCTGACCTACTGAGGGGTATGGTCATCCCTCTCTGGATGGGGAAAGGGGATCGGTGGGACTGTAGCAATCACCGAGGCATTACACTGCTCAGTGTGCCAGGCAAGGTACTCGCCCACATCTTACTGAGACGTATCAGAGACCACCTCCTGAGGCACCAAAGACCGGAGCAATCTGGATTCACTCCTGGTAAGTCCACAATAGACCGCATCCTGGCGCTTCGAGTCATTGTAGAGCGCCGTCGTGAGTTCGGACGTGGGCTGCTTGCAGCCTACATCGACCTCAAGAAGGTGTTTGACACGGTGCATCGCGAATCACTCTGGGAGACCCTGAGACTCAGAGGAATTCCAACAAGGATTGTTGGGCTAATAGCAAACTTGTATACAGGCACTGAAAGTGCTGTAAAGTGTGGTGGGGGCCTGTCGAGCTTCTTTCCTGTTAGTTCAGGCGTGAGGCAAGGCTGTGTCCTTGCACCAACACTTTTCAACACTTGCATGGATTGGATACTGGGTAGAGCTACTGTCCAAAGTCACTGTGGAGCAACTCTGGGCAATATCAAGGTTACAGACCTTGACTTTGCTGATGATGTTGCCATTCTTTCTGAATCTCTGGAAACCCTAGTGGCGGCTCTTGATGCATTTAGCAATGAAGCGAAGCCCCTGGGGCTAGAGGTCTCCTGGACCAAGACCAAGATCCAGGATTTTGGGGGCCTACTAGGAGACCCTGTGCAGTCGGTCCGTGCTTGCGGTGAAAACATCGAAGTCACTAGGAGTTTTATATACCTCGGTAGTGCAGTTCATGACTCTGGGCTGTCAGACCAGGAAGTCAGTAGACGGATTGGCCTGGCAGCAGGGGTCATGAAATCTCTCGACAAGAGTATTTGGAGATGCCGGTACCTGTGCAGAAGGACCAAGCTACGAGTTTTCAAGGCCCTGATACTGCCAGTTTTACTATATGGTAGTGAAACTTGGACGCTATCTTGTGCTTTGGAATCTCGTCTCGATGCCTTTTGTAACAGATCCTTGCGCCAGATCATGGGGTACAGTTGGCGGGACCATGTGTCAAACCAACAGCTACACCGTGAGACCGGTACAGGACCTGTTACTTGCACAATCCGTGATCGCCAACTCAGGCTATATGGCCACTTGGCTCGACTCCCGCAGGATGATCCTGCCCATCAGGTTGTCTCTGTTCGAGACAACCCTGGGTGGAGGAGGCCTGTGGGACGACCAAGAAGGTCATGGCTTGGGCAGATCGATCAAACCTGTCGTGAGGAACTAGAGATGGGCCGGGCCCCTGCCTGGCGGCTCGCCATGAGAGACCCTCGCAGGTGGAAACGAAGGGTGGACGCGGCTATGCGCCCCTACCGGCGTTAGCCCCCCAATGATGATGAAAGGTAATACAAGGGCTTCACATCAGTGGGGAGGAAAGTTTCCAATCATCGGTATGTTGTTCAATGTTGATAATAGGAAGGAAGTAGGTGGGAGGTGTCATAACGTATGGTAAAGTACATCATCTGGGCCTTTGTGGGTGTCGCGGCATGACTGTAAAGAATAATGGATTTCAGAAAAAAAAAAAGGGGCAGCATAATATTCTGTGGAGGAGAGAGAAGAGATGGGAGTGCAATTTTAGACTGAGTTCATGGAAGAGAAGTGAGCGAGGAGAAAGGTGACAGCCGCTACTGACCTGGCTAAAATAGGCACAAAGTTCAGTAGCGTTATTATTAGTATTTTATTTTAGTTTGTCACCTTCAATTAAATAACCTATAAAATTCATTGGCCATTTGAAGCAGATCTTCATGCTATAATACTTACATATATATGAATGTATTTTTCTCTGAAGAAAACATTTCGTTATCAACATAAGGTGTAATATGAAAATTCATTGGCCATCTGAAGCAGATCTTCGTGATATAATACTTCCGTATATTTGAATATATTTTCCTCTGAAGAAAACATTTTGTTATCAACATAAGGTGTAATAAGAAAATTACACAAATACCAGCTCTTTCATGTAAAGCAGAAAATTTCCTGATAATCATGTTGACTTGTGCATGTGGCAGTGTATTTTGCATCATCAGTGCACGAACTATGAATTTGGATCAAACTTTAATATGGTATTAACTTTAGTAACTCACACAAAAGACGCCTATTGTGCCCCTGGTGTGCTACAATCCTGTTAAATCAAACTGACCATAACTAAACTTATTAATTTAAATAAGTGCATATTTAAATATCAGCTTCTCAAAGGATATATATGAGGTTTATTCTTTTAAAACGACTTTACAACTAAAATTGATTTGCGATGAACCTTGACCTTTTTTTAGAGATATGGATATAATTAC